AATATCAAAGACTATAATATTCAGTATAGATTAAACTTGAACACCAAGAAAATAAAAATTTTAACAACTGGTTCAATAAGTAACATTATGATAATTGGAGAAGACATTGAAGTTGTCAGGCATTGCAATTTACTAGAATCTACAATCAATGCCCATAGAACCAGCAGTTCAGTAAAATCAAATGTGACATAGTTCACTGGGGAAATATGCTACAAAATTCTTCTTTTTAAAATGTTAAAAACCAAGATGTAGCTTTGAATATTAAGGTGTGCTTGATCAGGTCATCATAATTTCAATTGCCATATAGGCGTGTGAAAACTAGACAAAGAATAAGGAATACAGAAGAATTGGTACCTTTGATATATAGTGCTAGCATGAAACATTAATAATTAAATATCATGGACTACCAGAGAGAAAGCAAATCTGTCTTGGAAGAAGTACAGCCAGGATTCTCCTTAGGAGTGAGGATGGGGAGACTTTGTCTCATGTGTTTTAGACATGTTGTCAGGTATCTACAGTCACTGGAAAGGAACTTCATGCTTGGAAAAGTGGGGTCAATGGATAAAGAGGAAGACCCTCCATGAGACGGATCCACACAATGGCTGAAATAATGGCCTCAAATACAGTAACAATTGTAAGGATGGCTCAAGAGCCAGTAAGGTAGTGTTCTGTTGACCAAAGGGTCACCATGAATTGGAAATCACTGAAAGGCACTTAAAACACAGGACCAGGAGAAAGATGGTGGCATCTGTGGTAGCTTGCATGGGCCTGGGGGCCACAGGCCATCACCCCCGATTGGGAAAATGGAGAAGTCTCCACAGGGACCACTATCATGGCTGTGCAGTTTGACGGGGACGTGGTTCTGGGCGCCGACTCCAGAGCAACCACTGGGCCCCAAATCTCCAATCGAGTGACTGACAAGCTGACCCCAATTCATGATCGAATATTCTGCTGCCACTCGGGTTCAGCTGCTGATACCCAGGCTGTAGCTGATGCCGTCACCTACCAACTACGCTTCCACAGCATTGAGCTCAATGAACCTCCCACTGGTACACAATGCAGCCAGCCTCTTTAAGGAGATGTGTTACTGATACCGGGAAGACCTGATGGCAGGAATCATCATCGCAGGCTGGGACCCCCAAGAAGAAGGGCAGGTGTATTCAGTGCCCATGGGGGGTATGATGGTGCGGCAGTCCTTTGCCATTGGAGGCTCCGGGAGCTCCTATATCTATGGCTATGTCGATGCTACCTACAGGGAGGGCATGACCAAGGAGGAGTGTCTGCACTTTACTGCCAATGCTCTAGCTCTGGCCATGGAGCGGGATGGCTCCAGTGGAGGGGTGATCCACCTGGCAGCCATTGCAGAATCGGGGGTAGAGCGGCAGGTTCTCTTGGGAAACCAGGTCCCCAAATTCACCATTGCCACCTTACCACCCCCCTGAAGCCTGCAATTATGGGATATAAAAGACACCCCCCAGAACTTGACGTGGAATTCAGTAAAGTTTGACAAAATGGAAAAAAATACACACACACAGGATCAACGTCATTGATAGGAAAGCAACAACAACATTCTACTCTTGAGGTGCTTTTCTGTATGTGGTTTTAAAATTTTCATTTTGGACCACTTTGAGAAGGGTAGAAGGAGCCCTGGTATTGTAGAGAGTACACATTGTGCTGAGATCCACATTGTAGGCAGTTTGAAACCACCAACAGTTCCCTGGGAGAAAGATTGGGCTTTCTTCTCCAGTAAACGGTTACAGGGGGTAAAACCCACTGGGGTCGCTATGAGGCAGCATCAACTTGATGGTAGCGAGAGAGAAGTGTGGAACATCATCCTTCCCTGTATAAAGGTGATTTTATTGGTACTTGTAGTTGATTAAATGTTTCTCCATCTATTTTAAATATTCTCTTAATAAAGGATAATGGAATAAAAATTTAACATAATTTCAATACAGTGGAGACCCCAAAATCTGTTTTGAATTGCCTGGAAAGGAAAATGTGCTTTGTCAGTAACTTGATTTCTAACCATTTCCAATGACTTTCCCTGTAAATATGAGGAAATCCCAGGTGTTGCTAGTTGACAGGGTGTTAATATCATTAACATTCTGTCAGCACTCTTGTCAATGTGTTAATGGTGCCCCTGCTGCTCAGTCATTCCCTGTCCTCCACTTGGTGAAATGATTTAGCCAGCAGTCAATCAAAGAGCTAAGCTGGTTTCCAGCAACAGACAGCCCTGCCATTGACAAAATCTATGTGAGTAAATTTGGCAAGAAATTTGTCAACAGGATGGAAGCAGTAAGGTCAACATTGTAGTTAATGTGATTTTTAGACAGTTTAAGATGTGAAGAATGGGCTACAACGCATATTTTAAAACCCGAGAAGCCTTCTTTTCAGAATACATTACTTTTAGAAATAGTAAAGAGCCTTAAAGTAAAGTGACATTTTGATTTAAGACAAACAAACAACTCTTATGCTGCCACAACACTGGTCAAGATGAAGAAAACCAGAATTAGGAACCCTCAAGCCAAAGAGAATATGCTTCAAGGTTTGCGACAGCAGTCCATTTTCTGTGCTCCTACCAGTTCTCTCATACAGGAGATCTTAGTAAAACTTGTACCCGCATGGCTTGTGAACTAAATTCCAAACCAAAGTGAACTGAATTCCAAATACAGAAGCAGACTACATAACTTCAAGTAATCTTAAAAGATAGAAATGCATGGCCTCTAAAAATGTGTGGATTCACATTGTGTCTACGGTTAGTGATTTTATAAGTTTAGTAGTAATCCTGACAGAGTTTTAGCTCAATACTATGTCACAGGTAAAGTGGTGTGAATTTTATCATCGGATATGGGAAATGATCCTCATTTAATGATTGGAAGACCTTTGAAGAAGCTGAAGTATACAAAATCAAGTAGCCCTTGACACAATAAACATTCAATGAATGGGAGGGGCAGTGAAATTGTTTTAGTAATTACTATAAACTAGCTTTGATTCATGGTATGAAACTTCTAATACCACTGTTACGATGAACATATTAGCACAAATAATACTAATAATTTTCTTTTGAAAAAAGAGATAACCAATGATTTTCCCACATGATTAGATATTTGAATACAGTGCTTTGCAAAATAATAACCAACAAAACAAACCCACTGTCATTGAACATTGAATCGATTCCAATTCATGGCAACCTTACAGAGCAGGGGAAGGATTGCCCCTACGGGTTTCTGAGACTGTAACCATTTTACTTCATTAAATTGTAGTTTTTAGCCACTCAAATCAATTCTAACTTTGTCAATGAAATAATTGTAGTATATTTATTTTATTTATTTAAATTATGATATGCAAAGTCAGAGGCCCATACATTTTAATATAGTTTTCAATCACCTTGTGGACAAATAGTCACACTTTAGTGCCACTTAAATGAAGAATAACCATTCGTCTGTAACATACAGATACAGAAGGCTGTGGATTTTCATTTTAAATTTCCTTAATTACCTGCATATAGAGAGAAATAAAATAGGAGTCCATGCCAAGTTCATGAGGGTTTGAAATTACTTTTCTTTTCTAAATGAACAACAAAGCCTCTTCAATGTTGTAAGCTTTTGTGTGGCTAAATGCCAGCTTGAGAAGAAAATGTTTACAAGAACAAGAGGCTCCAGAATGAAATTCAAATGTAGGAAGAAAGAACCTAAATCAAAAGGTGAAAAATGTAGGTGACGGTTCTAGCTCCAGGAAAAAAAAAATCCAATCACCAATGAAATGAAACCTTCACATTGAGTATCCCAATGTGGGCAGTTATGCCACCCAAGGTTATTTGTTTGAGGATTGCCTGCCTCCAATAACCCTCAGATTTGAGTTTCCAATAATTCCTGTTTATGAAAGTATTCAGCAACACTAAGTGAACACAGGAAACACAGCGCTATTTCATGAGCCAAAACACCGAGGGGGGGTGTTACATTTTACATAAATCTAAATGGCTCTTCTCAATTAATTTCAGTTCAGTAGCATCGCTTCCAAATTTGACTAGAAAGAAAGCATATCACGGAAAGAGAAGGCAACAGTTTAACCTTGAAACAAGACGACAGCGATCAAGTTGAAGGAATTTACTGATTATCAGATAAAGAATTTACAGTATTTATTCCCTCTAGAGATATAAAATAGAGAATCAATCTGCAGTTCAAGATATTTATTTAAACCCAGAGGACGCCAGTATGGCTTTAGCTTTTGAAAAGCAAAATAGAAAAGAAGTCATCTGTGATGTAGCTTTTATCTTTAGAAAACAGATTCAACATTTAAAAAATTTAGCTGAATGACATTTCTCATATTTTGTTTCATTTCATTCTGTAATTTTTATGAACATAGTTTATATAAGAGAGGTTTCAATGGCAATTATTTAGCAAGAAATGCTTTTAATGTTAAACAGATTTTCACTTCAATTTAGTTAAATATATCCTATACTGGTCAATTCATTTATCCATCCAGTCATGCATTCGTTTACCCTTCACAATCCTTTCTGCCTCCTGATATTAGTCATCCCTCAATTACCCTTGAGGATGTATGTGTGCCCTCAGAAAATGCAGGCAGACACAAAAAGGAAACTAATTCTGATTTTTTTAAAAGACAAAACAACAAATCCAACCATCTTCAGTTGATCATTTCCTTTTAGCATTTTGATACTTAAGAAGATTCTTCTCTATCTTTTAGGTATGATCAAAGTCATAAGACTTACCTTGCATGTCTTGTTGGCCTGCAAATAAAATTCTATTTTGAGAAAAGGATTTTTATCCTAATTAGTGCTTCTTTTCCTACTTTACCTAGTTCAAGGGCATCATGAAATAAAATGGATACTCCTAATATAAAATGGCACATGCACATAAGTTCATCCACCTGGTATCAATAGACTATTAAATCCAAAACTAAACAGCCAGTTAGTAAAGAAGTACAGTGATAAATACAAACCAACAAATATGCAGATTGCCAAACTAAGTAAAGGATATTGTCATCTTTTCCACAAACTGATCATGTAGATTTTCTGACTTGGGGAATTGCTTGATGTCACGCTCCAGATGAATGATTTGTTGTTCCATTGAGTAAAGGTTGCTCTTGAGAATCTGAGCTGAAACTAAAGAACAATGCACAACGCATTAAGTACATTTCATCAAATCTTCCAAAAACAACTAAATGAAAACACTATTATGTAGAGTTAAAAATTTTTTTTTCTTCTTCTTTAATCTGTAGAAGAGTTCCGTGAAGTCAACTCACATTTTTCTAAATTACTGCTGATAAAAATTCCACTTTCTCTCAAATAAGTGGAAATGTGTAATATAATACACCAAATCATCGTGTTTAATATGAAAATGTCAACAGTTTAGTGTGCCGTTAGTTCAAATGAATTCATTTCTATTTAAATTTATTGATGGAAATTCTAATATTTCATTCTTAAAAATCTAATTTGAAGATTAAAGAGAAACCAAGGTTCAAAGGGATCTTATCTTATTAATGCATGTTCTTGGCTATTATAAATGATTTAAAGTTAAATTATAGAAAAAGATCAAATATTTTTCTTTTGCAGAAATAGGCTGAATTTTTTTTATCGAGTGCTATCTATGGTAAAAATTCCAGTCTTCAATGCATTTCATACACATAGTGATGTGAAAAAGAGCTGTTGATACACAAAAAGAATTGAGAGTAAACTCCAGTGAACACCTATGTACCTATACACCCACAACATTTCAGAACACCTTTAAACACTAGCATTACTTGCTTTAATCACCCCTGTGTCTGTGCATTTCATTTTTTCTTCTCATTGACAACTAATAATTTTAAGTATTGTATTCCATATGCTACTTAATAGATGTAAACGTTCCCCTTCTCTCCTGATGCCTTATTTATAGAGGTACTATTTTTCACCTGTAACTATTTTGTGGATGCTTTAGTATCGCATGCCTGACAATCAGGTGTAAAGGCAGTTATAGAAAATTCACAGATTTTAGGGGAGCAGTTTTTCTTGTGGAAGAATGTCAATGTAGGTGAAAACAAGTGTTGCAATTCAACAGGTAGCCTATGACATTGTTGTTGTTGTTTTTATTTTAATTCAGGCATTTCAATATCTATGAAAAAGAAATAGATCAATTCTCTCTCTCTCTCTCTCTCTCTCTCTCACTCTCTTTGCCTTAAGTAAATTTTCTCTCTTTCAAAGAAATATCAGTACTACAATGAAAGAGCTAAGACACAGACAACATTAACCCTCTGGCAAAAATTCAGCCAAATTATTCTGATACAAATTCCTCACACTGACATGCATACTTTAATAACGCAGTGAGGAGAAATTGCCTAAAACGCACATGGAAGTTCAAGAGACGGAAAATCAAATACTAATGGGAAAGACACATTTCCCGCTCATAAATCTGTCAGTTCAAATACCTTTGTCTAATTTAGTCCCATTTGTTTAGATCTGACAAGCTTGGAAACCATTCTTTAAAAGAGGAGTCTAAGACAGTTTGTCTTGCTAAAGTTTTCCTAATGGCTTGGCAATTATTACTTGCTTTATTTAAAGGATGAGTTTGCTTTGGAGGGAAGCAGTCTCATTGACTTGAAGCTGAATTCTTTAACTTGGGTTTTTCCTTCATATTTTTGCTAATATTTCTAAAAGTTTTTCTTTTCTCATTTCCTTGATTAAAAAAAAAAAGAATGACAAAACAAAATTGGCTAGTTGTGTATGCCATGTATGCCATGCTCCGCACGCAGGCAGGGAAATGATCAAAGTAAAGTGATGACCTCTCAGGAAACTGTAAATATACAGTCGTATCCCTTGTACTTGGAAGGCCATGCTCTGGAATTTTTGGTTTTAATCATTCATTGGCATATACACCAAATTCCCTAGTGTCAAGTTAATGCTGAATCATAGCAACCTTAGAAGACAGGGTAGAACTGCCCCAGTGGATTTCCATGACTGCACCTCTTCATGGGAGTAGAAAGACTCATCCTTTTTCAAAGGAGCAGTTGGTGGTTTCAAACTACTGACCTTGTGATTAGCATAACTCATTATGCTATAGCATTCTTCTACTAAACCAAAAGTTCCCATTTTGAATTTACCAGCCTGTCTTCGAAAGAAAAGCCCTGGCAATCTCCTTTCTGTAAAGATTTTCAGAGGAGCTCTGGTTGTGTGGTGGTTACAGCTTGAGCTGCAATCCTTATGGTCAGCAGTTTGAAGCCACCAGCCGTTCTGGGGGACAAAGACTACTGGGCTTTTTATCCAGTAAACAGTTCAATTCTTGGAAACCCACAGGGAGTTGCTATGTGTTGGCACTGACTTGAGAGAAGTGAGTTTGGTTTGGGTAGCATTGATTCAGACTCAGCAATGTGGAAAGTATACCGAATAAATTACCCTGTAGGGTTTCCAAGGCTGTAAGTCATTAAAGGAACATTAGCTAACCTAGTGGATGGTGGATGCCGCATCATTAGCTAACCCAGTGGATGATGGATTTGACCCACCAACATTTCAGTTAGCAGCCTACCACTTAAGCACTGCACTACAAGGACCCTTTCCCTTGTATACATTCCAAGCTTCAAGCTCCAAACTCATTGCCAATAAGTCAATTCCTGCTCATAGCAAACCTATACAGCCTATAGAAAACCTCAAGGTTAAGTTCTGCTCAGCTGCAGGGTTCCTATTATTTGGGATGGAATTTCAGCATGGCAGAATGTGGTGGTGGTGGTGGTGGTGGTAAAGTACGAATGAATGGAGGCAGCAGAACAACTGATATCATGTCTCTTCCCACTCACGATGACCCTACAGGGCAGAGTCCAACTGTCCCATTGAGTTTTGGAGCCTGTATATGTGTAGAGTAGCAGACAATCTCATCTTTTTTCCACAGTAAAGCTGGTGGGTTCCCACCACTGCCCTTACAGTTAGCAAACAAAGTCGAACCCCACCACACCATCTGGGCTCTAAATTTAGCCATTCATATAATTTATTATGAAGTAGTTATTTCGCCATTTTAAGCCATGATTCCCTCTTTTGCAAAATGAAGATGATACTTTCATGAAGAGGTATCCATTCCAATTAAATGACTCAACAAATAGAAGGTATCTTCATTGTACCAGGTATATTACAGATAATCTATAAACACTAGCTTCAAATTTCATTATCCTTTCTCTACACCCTGCCTTCTAGCACGCAAATCCCTACTATGTATGTGCTACTGGTAATTAAGTAACGCATTAGATATAATCTGAGCACTATAAATCCAGACATTCCTTATCCAAGACCTTCGCTAAGGTCTGATTTAATTTAATCTTCATCTTCTTTCTAATCAAGGAACTACATCTTTTCTCTTTGTTTTACAAGTTACACAAACTTTAGGTGTGGGTATAATGAACAATTATACTAATAGTGAAAGGCTATTTATAAAAGATATTAGCAAATCCCAACTATAAAGAGTACTTCTGAAAATTAAAGCACAAGATATGTATTTTTAGAGACAATTAAAAGTTCGGCTCTCTACACTTGTCTAAAATACAAGGAACAAAAAAAAATCATAAAAATTAGGGTGTGGCTATCTGCCTGCTTTTGGGCCTTTGGTACTTTTACTTCAGCCTTAAGTTGGAAATAAATATTGTGAATATAACTAATTAGGGTCTAGTACCCCTTATTTCTAATTGAGGTGTGTGTGTGTGTGTGTGTGTGTGTGTGTAAGAGAGAGAGGATTGAGAGCTTGATTTTTATACAGGGTTTGTGGGGAAACAGGAGATACCTGGAGTTATGACAACATTTTTAATAACAGAGTGGGTTAGAAATGCTTATCTCCTGCATAGCCTCAGCTTCAGGGTATATTTTGAGTGTGTCATATTTGTTTGGTAATATAAATTACGGAGTCTTTAATGGCAGTGCAAACATTTTCTAGCTGAGAAAATGCCCACCACAGGCATTTTCAATGACGGATTAGTCGGTCTACTGGCACTTTAATTTTTTCTCTCTTTTCATTTTTTTACCTCTGCGTGTAAATTAATAAATCTGAATTATAATCTTAAAAATTAAATTATAGCGATTGGGTTCTTATGGTTTTCTTCCTTGTTCTTCATAAATAATCTGTTTAGCTCAGTATACTCTCATCAGTTATATGTGAGAGAAACTTTCCCCGACAAATCTTATTTATCTACTTCCTTATGTTGAAAAATATACATATACTTTTACCCTGACTTCAAGCAAAAACACAAAAGTGGTCTGATCTATATTCACACATTTTAATAGGCAGACTGGCTCAAATTCACAATGAAAATAAATCAACTTAGAGAAGACATATTTGAGTTAATATTTTGAATATAAATACTGTTCACTGACAAAGTACATAAGAGAACTAATACTATTTAAGGGGGAGCACTACTCAGGTGACATTCTCTAGGACTCCTTCAAGATATGCAATTTTATTAAAATAAAATAGCTTTTACCAGGAACCTAAAGATTTTTCTCTGAATAAAATTTTTCTATTAATTTTCACCACTGATGAAGCAACAAAGCACTTCTTACTACTTTAAATTACGAAAGATGAGACAAAAATTTATGGTTCTAAGTCTATATGTGGACAAGCCCAAACATAATTATAAGCAAACTGGAATTTTCCTTAAGTGAATCTATTCAGTTAAAGAATATCAGCTGAGTGGCACAGACAGAAAAGAGAAAAGGAAAATTACAAGAAGCCTACATAATAGGTATAGTTGTATTCTTTCTCACATGCATTTATAAGTTAACAGTTTCATTTTAAATGAATGCTGTATGTGGAAATAAAGCAAATATGTTTACACAAGAGGAAAAGCTCATCAATGCAGGCTTCTTGGGCCTTTAATGGAAACAAATAGTAAAAGGCATCCAAGTAAGAAATTCCTACAATGAAAAAAAAAAAGCCCAATTCTCAGGAGAAAGCCTTGCTATGAATTCACATGAACCAAGAGCACAATTTAACTCTAATTGTTATGACATATAAGGGCCTTTACAATGGATTCGAACAGAAACACAATTTTGAGGATGCCACAGGACCAGGCAATGTTTCATTCAGCCACACTTAGATAGGGTCCCTATGAGTTGGAAGCGACTAGACATTACCTAACAACCACCACCACACC